ATACCCTGAGAAACTTCAGGCCCCACCTGACACTGTTAGTGAATTCTCTGTCCCTCCCCTCCTCTCCAGGTCCGATTCTCTGGCAAGCCTTGGAGTAGATGGACACAGACACAATTCATTTTCTCCCCACAGGCTTCCTGAACCCCAGGGGCCAGGCCGAAGGTCTCAACCCTCAGGGAAGGGAGCCCTGGAAATGGAGCCAGATTTTCAGACAGTGAGGCACACACTAACCCAAGCATAAAGTGACACATTAGAAACAGGGTCCTTCACAATGTTTCCTGTCACTAAGACACAATGCCATGGAGACACACCTCACAGAAACCCAGTTACACCCAATGACACGTGGGTGTACACTCAGGAAACCAAATGGAAAATCACCAGACCAGAATGCTTAGCACCCTCCCCTTTTCTGGACTCAAATTCAGTCTTGCCCCACCTCCAAAGGTCTACCTCAGCTGTTTTCCTGTCCTGGAAAATACTGACCTCAGAAAGTGACTTAGGGGCAAAAGATGGTACATCATACTCAGAAGCAACCCTCTCCTCCTTCAGGCTAACCGCCATCCCCCTCCTGACCTGACCTTCATTCCTTTCAGCAGAGCTGATGCCTCTCTCTGGTACATCCATACCCTCACAAACACACCTTAACACTCACAGCCGGCCACAGGGGCACATTCAATTGCAAGGGCGCACTCAGCCACATGTCTGCTTATACTCCCCCTGTTCTGGTCTCACACACACACTCAGACACACACATCAGCAGCTACACCTACACACCGACCATCCCAACACAGAACCACATACATTATGCTTAAGAACTCATGGGGTTACACTCAAGCAGTGAAATCTCTTTCATCCTATCCTTTCTGATCTGTGTCTCTATCTCCCTCCTCAAGGACCTGGCTCCCTATACATTCCAAGATGTCTATGGAGACCCTTATCCCTGTGCAGATGGGAGTGTAAGGCAGGAAGGCCCTTACCTCACAGGGCGTATCAAAATTTGAAGCCAAAGATGGGGAGATGGTGTGTGTTGCTGACCTCGTCCTGTCCTTCCACCGTCTGTGATCCTTGTGGCTGTCACTGAAGCCTGTCCCTGCCCTCATACCCTGCAGAGTCAGCCAGAAACATCTCGGGGTAAAATAGGCAGATAGGGCAGAAATGATTGTATTTGGCTGCTATTTACCACCCATGGCCCCAAAAGTGCAGATCCGGAGCCAGTTAAGCTTCTGGACTAGTTTCTGGGCATTTCTAGAGGATCAGAAAGCTGCCAGGTTGACAGAGGCGTCTGAGAGCTGAGGAGAGGGAAGAGAGGGAAGAGTGTGAGGTAGGCAGCAGTTTTGGAAGCTCCACTGCTCTTAGATTTGCCCGCTTCCCCAAGCCCTCCGTTTCCAGCCAATCATCCTCCATTAAGGCTCTCAGTCTTTAGGATGCCTGTCCCCAAGCCTTCTCCATACCTTTGGGGTGATATTTCACAGAGCATGTGTCCCCTTGAGTGCCTATGCAGGGCTGAGGTGGGGAAAACTTCAGTGGCCCTGTTTTTCCTACCCCCAGTCCTGGCTCAGGGCCCTTGGCTAACCTTGCAGTGGAAGGATCCACACACTTGTGGTGACAGGATAGCTGTTGTTGCTATCCCTGGCCAAGGGAGCAAGATTGGTGGCTGCAGTTGTGGCAGCTGGGCCTTGAAGTTTCTGCCGGTACCTTCTGTGGCTGCATTTGAACATCTTGGGAAACCTGGGCCGAGGCCAGCCCATACCTGGCCTGCGGTAGGGGGAACGTAAGCCCCGGGGCCGAGGGGCACGTGCAAGCTGAAAAGGCCCCATGGGCACAGAGAGCTTCTGTGCTGTGCCTGAGCGCGCTCTTGGCCAGGGCAGCTGAGGTCTCTATGACATACAGAGTCTGTATATGGGTGGGGCTCTTTATTACAAGTCCTGGTCCCTGGCCCCTCCTCATAGGTCAAGATGTCTAACAGTTCTCTCCACGGGTCGGTCCAACAAGAAACTTCCTCTCGACCCCTTGGGAGAAAGGAACTCTTAATGGGGGAAAATCACTACTTTCTCACTCATCCTTGTTAATAATATTAACAATTTTTATCGAACACTTACTGTGTGCCAAACATGGTACCAAGTACCTTAAAACATTGTCTCATTCAATCCCACAACAACCCTACAAGGAGATTCTACAATTATTTCTATTTCACATACAGCCAACCCTTGTTATTGATGGTAGTAATGTTCTAATAAAGTCACCACTATGAACACTGAACTAGCAAATATTGTCAATGCTCCTAGGAGAAATGCACGGTTAGATTCCTACCAGGTCATAACATTTTTGTCAATTGATTGATCTGTACATCTCCTAGTTTTATGTGTTTTTCTGTTTAAAGACACTTAATTTAAAAATTATTGTTGACTCATTAACATTGAACTCACAGTCAATAACACTATACCTTATACTGAATGAAGTTCATATGACACATGTATTTCCTCTGTAAGTCATATTACAACCTTCTCGTGCTTAGCTACATTAGATAGCACTTTAGTATGACTTTGGGGTCCATTTTAAACAGCAAAACCACCAACAAAAAGCCCCCAAAATATGAAAAACTTGTCACTCAATAGACCAACAAAAGAACAGTTGTTTACATTATAAGAGCTGAAATGAGAAGGCAGGGTATTCTGTTATTCAACCTCAGCTGAGAACATGCGAGTTGGCCAACTCAAATTTTTTGCAGTTCTACACATGTCCATGGATAACTGCAAAATATTATCAGTGCCATGAATATTGGTTTAGAGTTACAAATAAATTTCAGCGAGCAGGTAAATTCACTAATATGTAATCCATGAATGATGAGGATTGATATTATAAGGAAATTGAGATTCAGGTGAAGTCACACAATCAGAGGCAGGCAAGGGTTCAAATCCATCATGGCGAAGGTCCAAAGCCTAAACATTTAACTCTTGTTATTCTGCACTCATTCATTCATTCAATCATTCAGGAAATGAAGTACTAACAGCTTTATATGTGCTGGACACTGGGAACATACACTAATGTGACCTGGTTCCAATTCTTCCTGAGATGAAGGAGAAAGCCATGTGGACAATCAGTGCAACCTCGGGTTTATCTCTTTTCTTAAAAGAGACAGGAACATCAATGGCCCGGCTAGGCCTCGCACTGAGTTCTTGTAGAACTCTGGACTTGCCTCTTCTTCCTCTATACCTCAGTCCTCTCTCCTTCCTCTTGGTCTACCTGTAGGCCCCATTCCACCTCTTCTCTGTTTCCACAGGAGCCTGCTGGGAGACTGAGTAGCCCTCCACACCACACTTAAAAGCCCCACACCTCCTGCCTTTCCAGCTTCCACACTTACCATCTTCAGTCTTAGAAACCAATCTTGCCTCCATCAACTTCTATACACTATACCTAAAAACCCACCTGCCTTTGGCCATCTTCTTATGCTAGTCCCAGACCAAGGCCTCTTTCCTTGCTTTTCCTGGAAGATAGCCCCTCCTGTCTTTTTAGAAATTCCATCAAGGTAGACATTCTGCTTGGTGGTTAAGATGTAGACTCTGGCACCAGACTGGCTAGGCTGAATCCTGGCTCTTCCACTAATAAGCTGTGTGACTATGGCAAGACGTGCCTTTCTGTGCCTCTGTTTCTTCATATTTAAAAAGGAGATAAGAAAATCTATCTTGTTGTGCATTATTGTGAAAGGGAAAAAAGACTGACTACACACACACACACACACACACACACTGCATTTAAAACATAATCTGTACAAATATTGTATTGTCATATTCACCTCTCTCTCCTGTCTTTTCAGCTGCCTCCTCCCATTATAAAAACAAAATAAACTTAAAAATCTACTTTGTCCATGCCATACCCCCTCTGGCTGTGATGTTCTCCACTCTGACCTTCTTTCTCTGTAGTCACTTATGTCCCAAAGTGAGGAGAAAAATCTCTTTTTTAAAACCCAGTAACAATTCTGTTATGCAGACTAGGAATCAGAGGCTTGAAACGAAGTCTAAGAAATGCCCTGCCCAAGGTCACAGAGCTAATAAGTAACAGAACCAGGATTTGAACGTCTGGTCTGGGTGACTGGGAAGCCAGAACTATCCCAGCACCTTGCCATCAGGAATGCTGTAATGGGAAGTGGGATGGCAGCCCCAAAGGATTGATGAAGGTGGGCATAACAGAGCCTTGCAGCCAGGCAAGTGATATTTCGTGGGACCGTGCTGCCACCTTCTGGCAGAAAGGGAGGGGGGTGTACAGAGAATACGCGGAGAAGACAGGAAGCGGGGAGGAGAGAAAAGGGTGGGGAGGGGGAAGAGTGAGGAGGAGAGATGGAGGGAGGAGAAAGATGGGGAATTTGAGGCTTTGTGAAGGGAAAAGGACTGGGATCTGTTTGCTACTCAGTGGAGGGAGCAGAAGCTGCAAAGCCTTGGTCACTTCCTTGAAAGTGTGTGTGTGTGTGTGTGTGTGAGAGAGAAAGAGAGAGAGAGAGAGAGAGAGAGAGAGAGAGAGAGAGAGAGAGAGGCTCTAAGTAAGTACCTCAGATGTTGCTCTGTTGTTCGTTAGTTTCTAGGAGTCAGTCCACACAGAGTTCAATGTGTGTGCGCGCTCATGAGCACCAGTTTATGTATGTATCTGGGTGTGAACATGTAGATCGCAGCTTGGGCAGATGAGTATGCCTGGGAGCACATAGGGTACGTATGGGTGTATCTGCAGATAGAGTTAGAAGCATGTGTGCACCGTTGGGGTGGACGGCACTCTGAAGTCCTGGGGCTCCACCCTCAGATTCCTCTCCCTTCTCAGATCGGGAGGGGCATTGTCCAAGGCTGGTGTTGCCAGGTGGAGTCTGCCTGCTCCTGTGGCTGTGGGGACAGGCTGTGGGGACAGATCTCCAAGCAGCAGGGGGCAGCAGGGGCAAGAGCAGGCCTATGCGCTGGGGTGGAGCAGGCAGGCAGGCGGGCAGAAGGAAGCAGTTAAAACACCTGCCCCACCTGCAGGTAAGCAGTGTTGTGTGAAATCCAGCTCCGTTGTCTCCCTGCCCACTCAGTGGCAGTTTCCTGGAGCTGTTTGCCCCCTCTGGAGCCTCAGCAGATCCTTCTTTCAGAAGTCACAACCAAGAGTCCTAAACAGGTGGGTGATGGCATAGGGTAAAGATTATCCTAGAAAGGGAATTCAATCTAAAAGCAGGTTTGGGGAGCTGGAAGGACCATGGGACCATGGGACTATGGGGAGGGTCCTAAAGGAATCTAGAGCTGGTGTGGGGAAGGACATGTAGTTGCTAAGGAAGGGCATGGAATGACCTGCAGTATGGTAGTTAGATGTGGGGTGCCAGTGGATAAAACTGGGGTGTTAGGATCTCAGAGTATCAGGTGCTGGTAGAGGGCCTGGGCAGTACAAAGAGGTAGGAGTGTCAGGATGTGAACTGAGGAAAGATTCTGAGGTGTCAGAGTCCAGATGCAGGGGAAGCTTGGGTTCAGGATTCTGGTATCTGGTATGTCAGTGTCCAGGGCCAGGGCCACCCTGGGGGTTGCGGGGGACGTCCTAACTCATACATGTCTGCCTCCCAGGAGCCACCATGCAGTGTTACAGCTTCATTAAGACCATTATGATCCTCTTCAATTTTCTCATCTTTGTAAGTATGGGGCATGTGGCCTCTTTGGGGCTCCCTACAGGAGTGGGTTACAATCTGAGTAGAACTCAAGCTGGGAAACAAGAGACTGCATGGGGGGCCCGAGGGGGTGAAGGGGTTTACCCTAAGTCACCTAGCGTGGAAGAAAATTTGGTGACCTCTGTATGATGGGGAACTGAAAGAAGAGAAGGCCCAGAGACCACAGAGCAGAAGGTCTGCCTCAAGCCGCTTGTTCACTCAACACATGTTTATAGCCTAAGACTCAGTGCTGAGTGCTGGGGTGACAGGTGAGGAAGCTCCTTCTCTGACCTGGAGATCTCAGGTCCAGCAGGCCAGATAGGCAGATAGTCGCAATGTAGTATTTCTGGCCCTAGCACAGGGCCTATGGGAGCCCATTGGAGAAGCTTGAACCCCGCTTGGGCAGAAAATGCTTTCTAGAGGAAATAGCTGAGGCCAGGGATTTACTCTTTGCAAGGGGGTTGTAAAGCTTGCAGAAAGGCCCAGACGCGGTGAAATCAGATCCTGCTCAGAAAACCAGGAACAGATTGTGTAGGGCATGTTTGAGGAAGCTGAGCAGTGAGGTGTAATCCTGGAGATGGTGGTGGAGATGGGGAGAATGTACAAAGCAGAAAAGTAGACAAAGGAGAAAACCCTCAGACAGTGGCTGAGGGATAGAAGAAGGTGCAAGGGAGAGAGAGGTCTTGGAGATGATGTCCATGTCTCTGGAATGAGCAACCCTGGGGATGCCCCACAGGCAGCTTAGAGCTGCAGCTCAGATGGGCACTGGACAGGGATATTTGAAAGTCTTGTGCCCATAGGTGGTGGTTGAGGCCCTGCAGTGGGTGAGAGCACTTAGGGAGAGTGGAGTCCGAGAAACCCAGCTTATAAGGAATAAGTGAAGGAACGAGCACTGGGAAGTAGATGGAGAAAGACCGATGGGAGAAAGACAAGGAGGGTGAGATAGAGAGGTCAAGGAGGTTATGACATGAAGTGTCTACCAGATTTAGCACAGGAAGTCACCAGAGACCTTGGAGCCACATTAGAGTGGGTTAGAGTGAGTAAAAGGTGAGGAAGTGGAGACATGAAGTGTAGATGAATTTGTAGAAATCTGACTACAGTGTAGGCTGTGTCTTGTGCTTCCTTTGGCTTTCAGGAACTAACCTTTATCCATGTATTTAGAGAAGATGACAGGATTCCAGGGATATCGACAGCAAAGGCTCTGGCCAGAGGGGGTTAAAGGCAAATCCGGTTTGGTTTCTTCCCTCTGTTGCCCAGCCCTTACCAGGCTGTGCAAAGCAGGGCAGGCCTGAGACTCCTTGAAATTTGACCCTACAGGCTGAAAGTCCAGCTTTTTGTCCTTGAGCAAACATGCTTGGAATCCAGCCACAACCTGCCACCTTATTCCTGGTTGTAACCTCAGTTTCTATAGCTAGGAAGTGGGGACTGGGCATCAAGGTGGTGTCAGGATGATTCATCCACTGAAACTCTGGATCAGCAAAGCTTTGCTTTGGAAACTGGGCAATGCCCCCGTCCCCAGTCTGGGCCTCAGAATTCCCTCTGAGGTCTGGGGTTGTGCTAGGGAGCCTCCAAGAGCTCTGGGTGTACTTCCCTCCATGGGTCTCTAAGGTCTAGGTTAGATGAAGGGCATGGCTGCAATCTAATTCTGAAAGGGAGCCAACTGGGGCCTCAGGGTGCCCCTTCTCACTACCTGCCTCTCCAAGGCTGGGAGTAGGTGTAAACCTTGGTCCTGCCTTCACTGCCATGGTTACTGTTGAGCCTGCTCAATGCTACCACTCCCCTGTTTCTGCCTATCAGAGGACAGAGGTGTTCCAGGCACCAATAGGCTGGGGAGGAAATGGGGTGCCCGCCTGCTTGTTTTCACTCCTAGATATGTGGCAGGACTCTGGCACAGGTGAGGCAAAGCATACCACCCCCCCAACCTTCCCCAGCACCCAGTAGGTATTTTAGGAACCTCTGATCCCATTTGTATCTACCTAGGTGAGCAGCCTGATGCTGGCTATGGGTACCCCAGCTCCCATCCTTCTGGCTCTACAGGATGTTTTTCCTCCCTACAGGAAGAGTTTTTAGACTCCTTAGCCAATAAAAGGGGAGGTTTCTCATCTCCCATCTTCCTGACTCAACTGCGTGGTAGGGAACTGCTTGCCAACACTGTTTCAAGGTCTGCCTCTTTGTCCACAGCTGTGTGGTGTGGCCCTGTTGGCAGTGGGGATCTGGGTGTCAGTCGATGGACCATCCTTCCTGAAGATCTTTGGACCGCTGTCGTCCAGTGCCATGCAATTTGTCAATGTGGGCTACTTCCTCATCGCAGCTGGTGCTGTGCTCTTCGCTCTTGGTTTCCTGGGCTGCTACGGTGCTCACACTGAGAACAAGTGTGCCCTCATGATGGTGTGTCAAACCCAGCTCCCGAGGCCCATAACCAATGCTCAGGGTCCCCTTACCTTTGACACCAAGCCCTGGGGATCCCCAAACCCTGTTCTGGACTCCAGGGACCTCAGCAAAGGGGCCCCTGTCTCGTTTTTATGGGGGTGGATTAGAGCAAGGAAGTCATGAGGGACTGTCTCTCCCTAAAACTCAGTCTCCTGTTCCCCACTCAGTTCTTCCTCATCCTCTTCCTCATCTTCACCGCTGAGGTTGCAGCCGCTGTGGTCGCGTTGGTGTTTACCACAATGGTGAGGATCGAGGATGGGGCAAGGGGGTAAGACTGGGCAAAGCCCTGGAAGTGGGCTGTGGCCAGTGAATGGCCACCTTCCCTATTGGGCCCTAAACACTGGCCTGCCCCATCCAGGCCGAGCACTTCCTGACACTGGCAATAGTGCCCACCATCGAGAAAGAATATGGTTCCCAGAAGGACTTCACCCAAGTGTGGAACTCCACCATGGAAGGGGTAAGCTGGGTCGGGGGAGATTTTGGAGTGGGAAGAAAGAAGCAAGGCCCTACTGACCACACTCTCCTTCTTGTCTCCAGCTCAAGTGCTGTGGCTTCAATAACTACACAGATTTCGAGAATTCTCCCTACTTCAAAGAGAACAAAACCTTTCCCCCATACTGTTGCTTTTCTAATGTCAACAGCACAGCCACGGACACTTGCACCAAGAAGGAGGCTGAGGACAAAGCTATACAGGTGTGGGCCGGCATGGAAGGTTGGGGCTGCTTTAATGGCCTTAGAGAGCTGAAGAAAGGTGGGAGGCAGGTGCTGACTACAGACGCTCTTCTCCCTTCCCCAAGGGCTGCTTCAGCCAGCTTCTGAAAATCATCCAAACCAATGGAGCCACTGTGGGTGGTGTGGCAGCCGGAATTGGGGGCTTGGAGGTAAGGAATTGAGGAGGTTGGGGCACTGTATCCCCACTGGATCAGAGCTGTTCGACCTACGTCTGAGGCCTCTCTGGAGGAGGCAGACTTCTAACAGGGTTTCATGAAGGGGGTCTGGGAGGCAGGGGGACTAAAGCTTAAGGACCATGATGATGCCCCCTCATGTCTCCCTGTTTCTTCCCCACCAGCTGGCTGCCATGATTGTGTCCTTGTATCTATACTGCAATATGAAATAAGTCTGCTTCTGCCTCCGCCACTGCTGCTGCAGACACGGGGAAGAGGCACCCTGGTACTGACAAGTGGGCGTGATCAGCATGGGGACAGGATCTAACAGTGTCATTTGGGCCAGAATGGGCCTAGCCTTGCTGCTGTGGAGTTGGGGGCCACAAAGGGACCACTCTTTACAGGCTGTGCCTGACTTTGCCTTCCATTGATGCGGTTGGGGCCCACCTGTTCCAGAGCCAGTTCTATGGTTGCAAGTTCTGCCCATTCCTCCAGTCTGTCTCTGGAGCCCTTGATACCCTTCAGGCCAACAGGAGCTCTTGGTGACTCTAGTACTCCACTGGGGAGTAAGGTACTCTATATCCTGGGTATATGCAAAATTAGCAGTAACCAGGCGGATGTGTAGAAGGCACTTCAGAATTCATAAACTAATTAAAATGTTTCCATTGGGACTCTTTTCTTACGCATCCTTGGAGAGAGGGACCCATCTTGCCTAAACTGGTCTCATATTCCTGTGGGGCTGGAGACCCAGAAGGCCCGTAAAAAGGTAAAAGAGAAGTGGGGTGGAGGTGGGTGGCTATTTCTCCCCTCTATTTGGATTCCAGGCTTGGGAAGGGGTGTAACAGGGACAGTCAAGAGGGCACTAGGGAGGAGGTGCGGGCTGGGCCAACTTCCTATAATGTGGGAGGACTTTGGCCTGAAACTACCCATTCCTGGTGAGGGGCACTGGACCATAAAGCTATGAAAATAACAACCTTGTGCCCAAGTGGGGGCAGGGAAGACCATAAACACAGGCAGGGCAATGGGAGAAGTCTCTCCTTAGGCTCTGGAAAGCCCTCTGAAAGCCCCAGCAGAGGATCCAAGCTGCCTACCCTCCCCAGTCAGGCAAAGCCCCCCACCTGTCTCTGTTTTGGGTATTTCAGAAGGAACTTCATTTATTCTTGCTCTTGGCCTGCCTGGTGTTGTACAGATCTGGTATTTCCTCTTAACCACCCTGATGTTCCAGAAATGGGGCCTAGAAATGCCGTGTGACTAGTTCTAGACCCACACCTTCTGTGAAGAGTTTGGACCAGGCCATCTGACATGGCAAGATTTACCAAAAAGCCAGAATGCCCCACACATTGGTCTGACTGTTGCTGAGCCAGGATAGCACTAAGGAGGCTCTACCTGGAGAGCCGTGTCTGCTATGAAAGCAAAGCCCCACAGGGCAAACCAGTCCTTCTCCCTGCTTCCCTTTGACCCCTGAATCCCTCTTCCCAGGTTTTCCTAAGGCAGCCAGGAACTATCACCCCCGCTAATCCCACAAAGGAACAGTGACCTAGCCAAAGCCATACAATGCCTAAGAGCTAGTCTGAGGCCAAAATTAGAAGCCTGCTGAGGAGCGGGCAGGGAGAGCAATGAGCCCTTCTTCCGTACTTTTCTATGTGTTGCACACAACCCCTCCCCCAGGTGCCCACAGAACAGTGTAGATTTGTTTGCCCAGGGCGGGCTGCCACCTTATTGTGAGCTAATAGCTCCTTGAACTGGTTGTTATGGTACCTCAAGCACTATCTCTAGTTTCAGCAAACATTGAAGGCAGCAGGGTGGCAAGAATCGTCCAAGCCACACACCGCCCGTGCCATCGCCGAGGGGAGCTCCAGGCACCGGTGGTGGAGGCAGGGGCAGATAGCTGGTGAAAGGAGGGTGGGAGCTCATCAGTTCCTGCCTTCCTGGCCAAGGCTCTATAGAGCTCATGTGGCTCGCCTCCCAAGGACTCTGCAGGCAGACCCTTTCTCAAGAGGTGTTCTGTACCCACCCTCCTGACCCTAAGTCCTTCACGGATCCCTTGTATGTCATACTGCACCTGCCTTGGGCTCTTATACATCCTGTAAACAATCCCATTCATTTGTTGGTGTCTCTAAAACAAACTTAGATCTTCTTAACCTCTCTGGATCACTGGCTGGGTGAGAATCTGATGAAAACAATGCCTTTTCTCTAGAAAAGAGATGCACAGCTATGAAATCTGCATACAGTGCCGTAAGGGCCACAGAAATCCTTACTTCTATGTCTCCATCAGCAACCCAGGCCTAGCCTCCTAAATGAGCCTTGTAGCCTCACTGGCACTCCTATTGCCTTCCCACCCCCAAGCTTCTCTTTTTGCTCTCTCTCACTCCATCTCTGAGGACAGGTGCCTAGCCCTGACAAGCTGGGCAGGAAACAGCTTGAAGGTTAAACAGTAGTGAAGGGGTGTGGGGTGGTTACTCCAAGCTCAGCCCCAACAGGTCAGGCTCAAGTGCTCTAGGGTGGAGCCAATGGAAAAACCTGCAAGTTTGAGACTTGGGCATCCCCTGGTGGCTAAATAGCCCCAAATGGAAGATAAACCCTGCGGAAGGCCGTAAGGAAAACTCATGATCCACCATGACCACTCATATTCTCTCTCTCTCTCTCTCTCTCTCTCTCTCTCTCTCCACACACACACACACACACACACACACACACACACACACACACAATCACAAGACATATCCGTAGAGCTTTTCTCCTTTTTTAATCAATGACCACCTTACCCAGCTTTGAAAACCTGGATAAAGATGAGGCTGAGAAGAGGCCTGGTTCAGTGTCTGAGGGTCTCTGAGTGAGTCTGTATCAGTGGGGGAGGGAGGGGGGCGGAGGGGGGGGCCCTGCCAGGCCTGTCCGGGAGTTGGGCACAGCAGTTTCCTGAGTAAGAGCCAGCCCCACTCTCAGGGCAGCACCCCAGTCCATAAAGAAATCAAGGCCCTTCAGGCTTCAGCCTGTTTCCAAGGCCCTCAGGACAGTAAATAAATAGGTTAACCTCTGAGCCAGGCCTTGGAGGAGGAAGTATACAAAGGGAAGGATCAGGAGCCCAGGGATCTCCGGTACTATCCTGCCCTTTCCCAACAAGAAAAGTCAATAAATAGACCTCCAACTCAGAAATAGCAGTGTTGGAATAGGGGAACCTTCCCCTTGAAGTTAGTAATTAAGTCTCATGTTAAAAACAAACCAGCCCCAGCCCCTGCCAGTGTCTACAAAATCCTACAGGATGGGATAATGGGCTAGCCTGCCTGGGGGTACACAGTACCCAATCCTGCAGGGTCGTGGAGGAGGTCTCATGTCTGTTCTGCAGCTCCTGGGGCTCCCTCCTCCTTTGGGGGCGGCTCCAGGAAAATTGGGGTGATTGATGGTGGCTTCTTCACTCTGGGAAGATAATAGGGAAGAGGTCATTAGCTATGTCCCCTAATCCAGATAAGTCTCTCATTTCCAAGGGCAGAAAAGAATCACTCACGAATAGGGAGAGGCTGGGACCCCCACTACCAGGAAGTGGTTCTTCTTCCGAAACAATCTCCACAGGCCCCGGTGGTTGCCACGCACATCTAGGTCCCAGATATGGAGGCACTGGTGGGGGTGAGGCATTGGGAGAAGCATGAGTCCGAGAGCTCCTTGGAGGGGCCACTGAGGACCCACGGCCCAGCCCCAACCCCTCCCCAGCAGGGGTTTCTCAATTTGCAAGATTGCATTTTGTAGCATTTTTTTTCTTTTACAATTTCTCAAATTAAATTTTTTCTTAAAGAAGTAGTTCAATAAGAGGTAGCCTCTTTTAAAATATAAATTTGAACAAGGTGGTTGGAAGAAGGTTCTCAGAGTGTGAATAGAAGGTTCTGAGGTAAAAGATTCTAGAACAAAGGTTTTCTGTATCTTGAGGGGAAGGGTATTCCTCAGGTAGGTGCGGTATTAGGCACCTTGGCAAGCTGGGTCCAGGTGGTGAAGTCATCATCTTTCTCCATTCGGATAAAGGCCACGTAGGTATGGCCCTCTGTGTCTGGCAGGAAAGAGTCTTCACAAGGGTCCTTGCTATGGTCCAGAACTTCAGCTTCACTGCAGTGGAAGCCAGGTTGGGGGCAGGGGGGAGGTGGGCAAGACAGGAAGTGATTCTTAAGTGTATCACACAAGTCCCCTTGCTTAGTTGTTGCTGTCTTGAAATTCTCAGTAATTTTTGAAAAATGAGCCCTAATTTTCATTTTGTAGTTGGTCCCACAAATTATGAGGCCAAAACTCTAGTATTTGACTCCTCCTCACTCCCTGCCACATAGCTCTAACTGCCCTAGGCCATACCTGAGCAGCCTGTGAACTTCCACTTCATAAGCTTCCTTCTTCAGACTGCAGGAAAGGGAGAAGCGGGTCAAGGGAGGGGGTAGTCCCTAAGGTCCCCGGAGCAGGGCTGGAAGTCACATGGGAATCAGGGGGCAGCAGGACCAGGATAAACACACAGCCCCAGGGTTGGAAGGGACTGTCAAATACTGCTCATTAGGGCTCCAAAATATCCTCTGCTTTGCTGTCCCCAGCCCTCACCTGTCCACGTTCCTGAGCTGGACACCTGGAACCGTGTTGAACTTGTGCTTCTTGAAGTAGGCCTCCTGGAGTGGGTGTGAGGGTGCAAATCAGGGCCTTACATTGTCTGGTCCACACCTGCCCACTGACCTACCACATATCCACAGGCCCACAAATGAAGTCCTGGACCAATAAAGGTCCCTCTAATATCATTCTGCCTTCCCTGTCCTTTTTGCAGTATCGTTGACAGGCTCTTAAAGTTCTAATTTTGACTTAAGCATTGCCAGAGAGCTCATGTCCACACCGGCAGCTCATGCCAGTGACCACTGAGCTAGTCCCTATTCCCAGGGGTTCTCCCTGGGCCTGCTGTTCTAGAGCCACAGAAGCCAGGAACAGGCCCTGCAGCAGGTGGTGGGCAAAGGGATAGGCTGGACTGGTAGGGAAAACTGCTGTGACTAAGGTGCTGAGAGTGACCTGGGGTAAATGCCTGCCCCTTTCAGGAAAATGAATGGACAGGTTTCATATTAGCTGGCCTCTGAGGGCCCTTCGGGCTTCTAGGAGGTTCCAAGCTGGAAGCTGTCCATTCCTTCAGGCAGGGCTGTCTCAAGGTCTCCCTCTCAGTAACAGGGAGGGGAATGGCCGTTTGGACACAGCCTCGTAGTGGCTGGGGACCTGGGAACCTCCCTGTTCACTTCAGGCTGAGGCTTAGGCTCCAGCACTTGGAAGGACAGGAGAGGGCAGAGCTTGCAGGGCTGGATGCATGTTTGGCAGCAGAAATACCCTCCTCACACCCACAGTCTAGTGCTAAAAATAGTAATAATAAAAATAATACCAGCTAACCCTTACATAACGTCCACAGTTCAAAGCATTTTGCATATATTAACTCATTTAAACCTCATAACCTCACAACCCTATAAAGTAAATAGTATTTTAATTTTAATTTTGCAAATAAAGAAACAGGTTCAAAGAGGATGATCGGCCATTTCCCCAAGGTTACATGGCTCCTGAGCGGCAGAGCCAGGGTTGCTCCAGCGCCACGTTCTTTGCCCTATCTACCATGCTGTGCCCCCTCCCGAACATCCCTGCCTCCCACTCACATGGAAGTAGCCATTCATGTTGAGGCCCACAATGCCAAAGTGGTAGGATCGGGAAACATCAGGGATGATGCACTCTCGGCCTCGGCGTTGCTCAGGCATCCGCATCCACATGTCCCAGTCCCAGAGCTGGGGCCATGGAAGATTTTGAAAGTTAAGAGTCTCCAAACTGGCAGGGGACCCCAGCCCACTCACCCTACCCTGCCAGGACACCTTTTCCGGTGTGGGCCATTTGGGCTCAAGCTCCTCCTTATACAAAGACTTCCTGAGCACCCAGCCCAGCCCAGGCATGGTCTCCACACGGTACAGCAATGTGGGGTCTTCGGCGGTGTGTTCATACCCCTGGGGATAGGGGGCCATGATGGGAGATATTAGCTCAGGGCCTCTACAAACTCCCCAGCTGACTCTGGGCCACTCAGCCTACCTGATCGTTCCAGGCAGAGATACAGTACAGGCTGTCATCCTCCTCCAGCAGGTGGATGGACTGGCTCAGGAAACTGAGAGAGGCAGGGTCCCGGGGTTCAGGGAGGGACAAAGACAAACCCAACCACACAGTGATGCGGGAAGAGCTGGAGATGGGACTGAGGAGTCATGCTTCCTTCTTCCTCCCTCCAAAATTCCACTGTCTCCATTCATCCTTTCAGCTCTCTACTCCAACCCAACAGCTATCATCCTACGTTTGCTCAGACTATTCCTTCACTTTTGAGCTTGCTTCCTCCAGAAAGCTCTCCAAAACACCTCACTGTCGTCTTCCCTGGAGACCCAGTCAAGCAAAGAGGCCGCATGCAGCTTATAGAAGCTTTCCCTCACCTGAAAAAGTCCACAGCAATGTCCAGGTCCTCTTCCAAAACCACAGCAAACTTGGCTTCCTGCAGGGGGAGGGAGACAACATATTCCCAAGGTGGGCCTTTCCAATTTCATGTCTTCTCCACCCTCACCTCACTTCTCAGGCAGCACTCTGCCGATTTTCCAGATATGGAGGATGTGGCCCAGACTTTATGTTCATGTTTCCCCTCCCTCGGCCCAAGGGTTTTTTCCTTACTACTCACTGGAAACAGGTTGAAAGTGGCCGTGAGGCTGGCCTTGTAGTGCTGGGTGGGGAACAGAAACAGGGCACATGAGCTCTAGGCGGGATGGTGCTGCCAGGTGCCTGCCCCCTCCATCCCTGCTTAGGCACTACCTGAGACACGCGGGCATTCTTGATGCTGATGGGAGTGTGCTGGATGCCCCTCAAACCGAACAGCGCCACCACGTCCATTGGCTCCTGTGGGGCATGGCCACTGGTCATCCAGTGAGCCACCCTCCCCCTGCCCTCTCTGCAAGCTCTGAGGTGCCAAGCCCTCCACATGTCACAGCCCTTGCTTGGGCTGTCTCCCTTGCCAGTCCTCAGTGATCACTGCTACTCGGCACCCGCAACACTGTTCTGCTCCACCCAAAGCCCCCCAAGTCCTACTCACCTCATAGTAGCCATCGATGAAAACTGTTATCATCTGGGGAGACACCCCCTGGGCTGAAAGCAGAGAGCGCAGCATCCTGGGGAGCCCAGGGATGGGTTAGGCCTCTTTGACCCCCCCAACTCAGGACTCCCTGGTGTTTATAGATGGGCCCACATTCCTCATTTTAACCCACATATGTAAACAGACCTAGAATCTGTTGTTTCTGCCCGCCTGCAGATAGATGAGCTGGGGTTCCCACCCACGGAGCACACTCCTGCTCACTGCTGGATGAAGCCCATTCCCAGGCTCACCTGTACAGGTAATTGGGCCGATTCCCTGCAATGACAGCCACAGGAACATTGAGGACCTTGTTGTCTGGGAGCTGAGTGAGAAATAGCTTTTAGCTCTCGCCTCATTCCCTCTTCAAACTGGGATGCCTACCAAGGGAAGAATTCTTTGGGGGTGAGGGAAACTTCAGAGAAAGGGAAGAATCTTCCCTGTCACGGTCCTCCATATACTGAGCCCAACTCTGACTCCAGGTCTTTTCTCACAAGGCCTGCCCTCCACCTGACCCCCACCTGCTCCAAATGCCCTGTCTTTCTGAGCTCAGTGTAAACCCTCAGCTCCCGGTTCCCTCCCAGGCTAGGGTAGGGAAAGCCCAAGCTGGACCTCTCCGAGGGCCCCTTGCCAGGCTAGGAAGGAGCCTAGGCCTTACTGCCCAAGGCTGTACTTACTGGGTCAGGGCTGAACTCAATGGGGGTGGGGTCCTTGCAGCTGCACACACTCCCATAGCCCTCAACTTTGCTGCAGAAGCGCCTGCGGCGACGGTTCAACTCTGTATCTGCCCAGTGGCACTCCGCCTCTGATGGAGAGATAGGGTCAACAGGGTGGGGGCACAAGGCCAGTGTGGTCTGAAGAACACCAGTCCCCCCAGTCAAGAGTTTAATAGAGCCCCATGAAGAGGAATCAAATGCCCACCCCAGCCCAGGCACTTGCCCCAGAGCCCAGCCCCCATGAACCCCACCTTCAGCTGAGCTCAGCGGCACATCTGTTTTCAGTAGGACTGGGTCCCCCCAGGAGGAGAGGGCAGGTGACTTAGAATGCTTCTCCCCGAGGACAGGCCCTGGCAGGAGGCAGGAACAAGGGATAATGGAGGCCCAGACTCCAGTTTTAGAGCTTATTCTCTTTTCCCTACCCACTTCCATCCAACTCACAACACTGGCTCCTATTTGCTTCCCTCCCCACCCCACACAGGGTTCTGCTCCCCCAGGCCCTTAATACTATAAGGGTGGATGGCCTATGGTGCTGGCACCTCCTTTTCGTCCCACGAAGGCCCAGGTGTCCCTCCAGCCCAGAGCAGGGCCAGCCTGGCTGCCTAAGCTCCTCAGCAGAGCCTTGGCTGTGTCCTTGAGGTGGAAGGAGCCCTCGTCCTGTGAGACCAGAGAAGGTGGTCAGCCTGAACAACGAGGTTCCAGGAGACCTGGCCTCATGAAGCATTAACTACATGTCAAACCTTTTACTTAAATTAGCTCAGTAAATAATCACAACCCTCTGTGATTACTATCACTTCACAGATAAGAAAATGCAAGGCTTAGGGAGAGTCTGAGAATCATGCAAGGTCACCAGGCTAATAAATCCTTACCATAATCCCACATAATCTGCACCTCAGTGTCTGCTAACCTCTCTGCCTTCTTCCCACCACTCTTTCCCCTGCCTTATTCTGCTCCAGCTCCTCTGGCATCCTTGCTGTTCTTCAAGCATGTTCCCACTTCAGGCCCTTTGCACTTGCCATTATTCTACCTAGAATGTTCCTCCTCCAGATATATACATAGCTCACTCCACACTTCCTCCAGCTTTCTGCTCACATGTCATTTCCTTACAGAGGCCTTCCCTTTCTAAAATACATCCCCCATCACTCTGTCTCCCTTTTTTTTATTTCCTTCCTCATATAAGTTTTCATTTCCTGGCATTAAATATTTGTTTGGCTGCTTAAAAAAAAAAAAAATCTTGCCCTGCTAGAATAAACTCCTTAAGGGGAGGGACTCTATCTTGCTTCCCATTGTAGCCTGTGCAGTGCCTGGTACACAGTACATGCTCAAATAATAAAAATGACAAGGCTAGTAATGGAACCCAAGTTACTTTCCTTCAGAGCCTCTTCCCAGTGTGCCACACTAGGGGCATAGAACCCAAGGTCATGGACAGGGTTGGAGCTGGAGTTTAGGGGATGGGGCCAGGGTAGAGTCACTGACCTTGACAGTGCAGATGAGCACTCGGCCAGGTGCCACCATGTTGAGGAACAGAACCATGGCCTCATCCTCATGAGGTGAGTATGTGTCAAACACACGTTTTGCCATTACATGGCCCTAGCAGGGGACACGCCACTTGTGAGTTAAGTGTCACCAGCAACGAGGGCTCAGCTTCGGCTCTCCAGATCCCCTACCCTAGAACCTCACCGTGGCCTGGTTGAGGACGATGACATGGATACCCCGGCCCTGCTCCCGGGCCTCATCCTCCAGTACCTAAAGGGTGGCAGAGACAAAGTCCAACTCTTCACTGTGGCATTCAAGGCCTGTCTTATTGGCACTTAAAAAAATAACTGCATGAAAGGAAACCTCCTTTCCTACCTATGCCTCTGTTTACATAATTCTTTTCCAACCCTGCTTGGAGGCCACCTCTTCCAGGAAGCCTCCATAGCACTCCCATCAAGAGATCACATCTTTTTACAACCTTCCCTTCCATAGCTCCCATGGCTGTTAGAGGCCTTGATTGCCCCTGCCTCCTGCTGCAGTTAACCATGATCTATCAGATTGAGCCCTTTGAAGCAAGTCTGATTACTTGCAGTTCCCCAGTGCCCGAGACAAGGCTAAAGCTAATGAAAAGACCAGGAAGTGATGATGACACAAATAACAAGGAATTAACTGCCTACTAATAGTAATGATTGCTTCTGAAAAAATCCCACTCCATATAATACATTTCACATACTCTTCACGTAATTGTGGCAAGTAGAAATCCTTAGTCCCAGTTTCAGATGAGGAACCGAGGCCTCCAAGTTGAGCATGTAGAAATTAGCAGAGGTGTAGTTCCTACTCGGGCAGTGGACCCCAAAGCCAGTGGACCCCAGCCTGAGTTGAAACGAGTGTACACCAGACACCAACCCACTCACCGTAGTGCCATCCACTGCCACATATACTTTGCTGCGGCTTGAGTATACCTCCACATCCAGGACCCTTCGGGGACTGCTGCCTCTGCGCCGTGGGGGATCCAATCGGCCCAGGGCCTCATCTGTGGGGGTACGACAGGTCATGGAAGTAGTCTCTCTAGCAGTCTCATCCTTTGGGATATGCCTACTATTTTAGCCATGAGATCCCAGGGAACCCCCTTCACCAATCCCATCCTCAATCAGCCTGCCCCCACCATAGTCTTGCTCCTGCTCCGGGTCTTCATTGGCTTCGTTGATTGCCCGTCGTGTGTCCAGGATCAACTTGATGTTGACAATGACGGTCACCAGTAGAAAAAGCACAGCCCCTGTCTGAGGGGAGGGGAGGGGATGACTAAAGAGGGGCAGCCCCTGCCCCAGACCATTGACAGTCTTCCTGAAAGGAGGGCCCAGGCTGCGGTCATGACAAAGGGAGAGCCTGGGGCCTGTCTCTCCTCCCTCTCTCTGCCCAGCTCTACTTCCCCAACCAGGGTCCTGTTTCACGATCACCTTCTCCAGGGCACCTCCCACCCTTTCCTCCTTCACCGGGGCTCTCCCTAACCAGATCTCCTGTAAGCTTCCATGTGAGGCCTTGATTTCTTTGGTTCCCTCCACAATTAGTTCCTAGAGATGGAGCCGGTCCTAGAGAACCAGCCTGGTATCAAAAGACCTGGGTCCTAGCCCTGATTGCCTGATGGTATGGGCTCTTGGACAAAGCCTCCCTGATCAGACTTCGGGCTTCTCTCAGAAACCTAGGAGGCTGTATTTGGGTTCTGATTCCAGAACTCCGGACCCAAACCACTACCTGGTAGGGACATGACACAAAGAGGCTTCCCCTCTGGGAACCTGCTGCCCCTTTCTAGGGTGAGAGTAGCCAAGGTGGGTTCTAGTGCTTATAGTCGAAGCTGGGGTAAGTCTGGGAGGTTTGGGACACCTCTATACCTGACAGAATTTCCGCAGGGTCCTCTGGTTGGTCAGTTTATACTTCCAGGTAAGATACCAGCTCCTCTTCTTCCGAGCCCCAAAGGGCTTGATGAGGGGGCTGGGCTTCCAGTCGTCCATGCCGGACTGGAGGGTCACCACTGTCCCGTCCAACCCATGCCTTCAGGAAACTGAGGGGATCACATGGAGTAAGGGGTTCCTCCTAAAGTCTGATGCCTTCTGGGAGATGAGGGAGCACCTCCCAGTAACGCTTCCCTGCAGGGATCCACACTGTGTGACCTGGGGAGAGTGGCTCAACTTTTCTGGGAATGAAACCGTCAGAGGGGTCAGAGCACCTGGAAACTCCCCTGGGGCTAGGGAAATTGACAGGGTTGTCCAGGGACTCAGAGAAGAAGCCAATCATCAGCTTTCAAGGCTAATCAGCCCCCAAAATGACCAAGCCCCAGGCCTTCTCGGTCCTGGGGTGGGCTAAGTGCAGAGGCTCCCCCCGACCCCAATCTCCTTACCCTTCCACCCTCGCCCCTCCTATCTGGCCCTGATTTTCTCCTCCCAGGGCCCGGGACTGCCCAAGGCCTCGGGAGACCTACCCCGGCCGCGCCAGCACTCCCAGACCCCCGCCTGGAGGCACTCACGGGTCAGGGGCCTTGGGCCCCACTCGGGCCCTTCTCGGGCCCGCACTGCTCCGCCCGGCGCGCCGCGGCCTCCGCCTCCTCCATGCCGCGCGCGGCCCCGCCCTGGCCGGCCCGGCCCGCCTCCCCGCTTCCGCCGCCGCCGCCAACGCCGTGGGGTGAGAGGGCGGCGGGCGGCGCTTTGGGCGGCGGTGGGTGGGGGTGTAGCCCGCGATACCGCGAGCCCTTAGCCCCTCGGCAGCTTCGCCGCGGGTTGGCGGGGGTGCCTGCTAGGGAGGAGCTGCTTCCCCTCCTCCAGCACGGCCAGGTGGCAAACTCGATTTCAGTCAGAGTGATAGAGCCTTGAATTAGACCGTACGGCATCCCAGGGTCAGAGGGGTTACGGGCCTTGGACACAGCTTACTCGCTCCCCTTGCTTGAGCAAGGCTGCACCCAGGCCTGGTGCATACGCGGCCTCTGAAGGCTAAGGGGAATTAAAATCTGGTTCTACCACTCACCTAGGCATTAAGGAAGTCGATTCAGGTCTCAGCCTAGGTTCCTTTCTTCGTGAAATGAGAATACCCTTATATGATGCTTACTCTGTACCAGTTACTGTTCAAAGCACTTTATACTAACTCATATCATTACCCAACAACCTCATGAGATAGATACTATTACTATGCCAATCTTACAGAGAAAGAAAATGCGGCCTAATGTCACAAAGCTGGGAAAGCTAGAATTCAAACCCCAACCATCTGGCTCCAGATATCACTCTTAGTCCCTGCACTATACTGACAATAATAATACTTACTGAGTTGTGAAGATTAGATGAGATAATACATATACACAGCACTTCACTTACCACAGTGTCTCTCAAACCTTTGCTTGTGTAAGAATCACTTGGAGGGCTTGTTAGGCCCTGATGGGGTAGCTCTGTTGATTAGAGCATCCTACTCCTATGCCAAGGTTGCAGGTTCTATCCCTTGTCAGGGCACAGAAAAGAATCAACCAATGACTGCATGGATAAATGAAATGACAAATTAATGTCTCTCCTTCCCTCTCCCCTTTCCCCTTTCTCTCTCTCTCTCTCTCTCTAATCAATACATAACAGTAAGAACAACAAGAATGACTTAGAGGGCCTGTTAAAACACAAATGGCTGGTCCCCACTCTTAGTTTTTTATTTAGCAGGTTGGGGCAGAGCAGAATGCTGCATTTCTAACAAGTTTCCAGGTGACGTTGATGCTTATTTGAAGTAAATGTATAGCCATGAAACAATTTTAGGCAGGGAAGCAATATAATCCAATTTAAGAGAATATTTACTGTTTGCAGATTAAAAGGAGACAGAGGAAGCCAGAAGTCCAGTTAGATTATTTTCAAACTCTCCACATTCCATCTGTTTCCTAAATGGTAGGTTGACATCCTCCAAAATGTTAGGTTATCAGTGGATCAAGAGATACTAAGGACGCCTGGCTGGTGTGGCTCAGTTGGTTGGGTGTTGTCCCGCAAACCAAAAGGCTGCAGGTTTGATTCCCCATCAGGGCACATGCCTGGGTTGCAGGCTCGGTCTCCAAGTTGGGGCACAAGCAAGAGAAACGATTGATGTTTCTCTCTCACATCTATGTTTCTCTCCCTCTCTCCCTCCCTTCCCCTTTCTCTGGAATCAGTAACAGGAAAAAAAAAGATACTAAGGGAAAATATGTTACATAAAATTACAAAGGTAAAAATAATAGTAAAAATATATAGGACCTATAGAAAAGGGAAGTACGGAGTGTAAGTGTGGTAAATCCATATTTATCATAATAGGAAGTCAGTAGACAATGTTTAAAATGAAGAAATAGTGGTGTAAACCTATTGTGGAGTTATTAGTTTAAATACCAGAAAAAAAATAGCTAAAAGTGATTGCCTCTGACAGTGGGACTAGAGGTGGAAATAGGGCAAAGGGTAACTTATCTTTTATCCTTCTGTAACCATGAGCTGGAATTACTTGGATTAAAAACCAAAATCAAGTGAAAGCATGTTTTTCATGGCTCCTCATTGCCTGTAGAATAAAATGCAAGCATCTTAGAACCATCTTCTATAACCTTGTTACTCAAAGTGTGATTCCTGGAGAATCTTGGGCCCCATCCCAGATTTAGAGAATCATAATCTGCATTTTAACAGGATTCAAAGGTAATTCATGTGAACAGTCAAGCTTAAGAAGCATCAGTTTACAAAATCAAGCATGATCTGGCCCATGTGGACCACTTCAGCTTCAATACCGTTTGCTCCTCATTGGCCAAACTTCACTTTCCACTCAGTCTAAATGGAGTGGCTACAGTGAGGGTGTGTGTGAGTGTGTCAGTGGCTAGCTCAATTCTAACCAGTTTTAATTTCAGCTCTACTCCAGGAAGTTTTCTAAAATCCTCTGTAGCTCTCTGTTACCACTGTTCCTTAAACTCCCACATCCATGACTGATTATGCTTAGCCTTCACTCAGCAAACATTTATTGGGCGCCTGCTGTGTGCCACTGGATTGAGTGCCGGGGTGGGGAGAAGGCGCTGAGATACATCTCTGAATGTTCCTTTAGGTACAATCCAGAATCGCCAGCCCTAATCATTCCAGGACCAGAGGTTATGTGCGCTGTACTCGAATATATATAGACACACGAACAATGCTCTGCGCGGCTCTTCTAAGTGTTACGGCGCGCTCCTCCCTACCCAGTGCGGCGCGGGCGGGGACCCACCGGTTCCGCCCCGCACCAGCAGCGGAGACAGGAGGACCCCCGGGATCGAGATCCCCTGCTTTTGGTCGCCCAGCTCTGTTCAGGCTTAGACACGCATGGAGGGGACTGCAGAGTCCCAGACGCCTGACTTGCGAGACGTGGAGGGCAAGGTGGGCAGGAAGACCCCCGAAGGGCTGCTCCGCGGGCTTCGAGGGGAGCGGGAGCCGGGAATCCCTGGAGCCCTGCTGCTCCCGGGGGCGCCTAGCACGGGCCACGGCTTGGGGGACAAGATCATGGCGCTGAAGATGGAGCTGGTGAGTGTGGGTTTCATGAGCCGGGGTGGCGAGGGTGGTGGACCCGAGTCCTCTGTGTAGGGCCTGAAGGAACGACTCAGAGTTGGACTAAAGACGAGGGAATTAAAACTCCCCACTTAACTCCTCAGGATCTCTCCCAGGTCAGTCTTTACACCCTGGGGTCCATTAATTGCCTCCCCAAGGGTGAGTCAGGTGTAGATGGGTCCTGAAGGCTCGGGGTGGGAGGCTCAGGCTCTTGGAAGTTTTTCCTACCAAATAATTGGGAGGGGAGGGGTGAAGACTGGGAAACACTGAGAACCTAGCAGAGACGAAATCTTCCTCTGCCCTCCTTCCCACCTATCCCCCAGCTGCCATTATAGGGCAACCCGTTTTTTCTCCTGCAAAGTGGACCCAGGGTTTCTTCTGAGACCCCAGTGTTCATGACAGTATTTAGCACACAAGAGATTTGGGTGAAAACTCTCTGGACTAGGGCCACTAAAAACATCCTCCCTTTCCCTAACATTCTCCCAATCCCCCTAAAAATATTTGAAAGGTTCCTAGAACCTTAGCAGACATGAGAAGCAGCACTCAGTGTTGGTTTCATCACCTCTGACTCAGTCTCCTCCCACCAGCCCCCAAGGTGCACTGGATATTTGGATCTCATCTCTACGCTTTGGGGAGAAGAGGAGACAGGCACCCTCCCACTTCTCTGTTGCTGCTGGTCTAGACTGAGAGCCAAAAGGGCAGTTGGGGCTCATCAGGCTCCCCAGGGCCCTGATTCCGGTGAAGAAGGTGATTCACACCTGCCATCACTTTACAGCCAAGTTCTGGGGAACTGAGGAAGTGCCAGCTGCTGTCTGGCCCAGAGCCAGGAAGCCACAGTGAGGATGTGAGTTAATGTCTTCCTGGACCCCCACTGTGTGCCCAGCTCTGTGCCAGACTGAGCTGCGAGGGAGAGGCAGGGGAGTTCATGGGGGCTTCCAGAGGGCCTGAGAGGCTGGGAGGAGAGCCTTTTGGGCAGAGCAATCAGGGAACGCTCCCTGGGGGAAGGATTTGAATGCCATGTGTGCACTTGGCCATGAAGGTTGGAGGTGAGCCAGATTTTCCGAAGTAGTGCCCACCTAAGGGAGGGGCTGGCTTTGCCTTATTGCACAAACTTTAGCCCAAGGCCTAGAAAGAGCCCACCTAGAGTGCTCTCCTTTGGAAACTAACTTGCACCAAGAGTATGTGCCTGGCATTATGCTGAGCACTTAACAAGATAGTCTGTTAATCCTCACGGCAACCCTATTAGGTAAATGGTACTTTATAGATGAAGAAACTGAGGCACAAAGGGGTTAAGTAACTGCCCCAGGTCATATGAAAAGTAAAAAAAGCAGAGCCAGGCTTTGAACCTAGATGATCTGCCTACACTTTCCGTCTGCCATTGAGACCTGTTTTGTGCCAGACACTTAAAACACATGTCATTCAAGTGAGAAAAGCAGTCATTTTCCCCATCTCACAGACGAAACATGCTTGTAGGTGTTGAGGGACTTGCCTGAGCTCACACAGGAGGTAGCGGAGGAGCCATGCCTACTTTCTCTGGTTCTAACTCTTTTCTGCCTTTGGTAGAGATAAACCTATTTGTAAACTTTCAGGGGGTACATTTAACTTCTGATTAGGTCTCTCTTAACTCAGCCTCACCTGGGGCCTTAGGGTGCCCATGAAGGGCAGGAGTGAGGGAGCCTTCTAAGGGCCAGAAGAGCGAGAGGCCCCCTATGTGCCCCACAGATCCCAACCCCATTCCCTTCTCCCTCCTCAGGCCAAGATGTCATTAATCTCTTCTTACACTCTGCCCTGCCCACTGGATTGCACCCAGGGAGGACAAGGGGCAGGGCACTGGGGGGTTCCCCTGGAGCTACTTGTGGCAGAACTGGTCTAAGCCCTCTAAGTACTGACCTTCAACTGTCCTTCTCCCAGCTCTCCTACAGAGAGGGGACTGTCTTGCCCTTGAGACCAAGGACATCCCTGCTTCTAGGACTCTTCCCTCCTGCTTCTCTCCCCTACTTGAAGGTTGTTGAACCAGCCAGACTCTGGGATATGTGGGAAGGGGAAACATGGGCAACCTCCTCTACTTAATACTCCCACCCAAGTAACTGTTGCTATGACAACCACTCCACAGAAGGCAAGGAGCAGGGCATAGGTTCAAGTCCAAGATCCTTTTGTGATCTTCAACAGGGTCTCTCTTGACCTCAGTTTTTCTGCCTCTTCTCAGAGGGTGGGGGAGAGGGATTGTGGGACCAGTAACAGTAGTCTGTGAATCTCTGTCCCTGTGAATCTCAGGGATTTAGGACAGGGATCTCTGGGTTTTTGTCCCAGGGCCTGGTTTGAATAGAGTGAAGAGGGAGCCCTACTGTGACCTCAGGGCTGGGCAGTCTGATGTGTGTGTGTTGAGGAGAGGAGTGGGAAACTTCTATCCCGCCGGGAAGAGAACTGGGTTGGAGTGGCCTCTGAGGCTGCATCTCTCCTGAACTGTTTGCCCCCCTTTTTGTTTGCAAAGAGGTGGTGTGAAATGAGGGTTTCTTTTTTTGGCAAGAAAGCCTTGCTTTCTTCTATTCTGTGAGTGATGCTGTTACAGTCAGGGAATCCCACTATCACAGGACTATAGAATCTGGTCCCTCAAATTCATTTCCTACCAACATGGTAAGACCCAAACCCCTGAACCCAGGGACCAGCAGAGAGGGCCAAGAATAGTAAGGGCAAGGAAATCACAGATCTGTATCTGACCTACCCAACCCTGGGCTTAGCACCAGAAATGAGCTGGGCAGGACCTGGTCACAGGGAGCACATAGTGTGGGTTAGAGAAGGAGAGAAACAGACTAGTAACTCTAGTAGAGGACAGTAAGTGCTATTGGAACCCAGGGAGGGCTTTCCGGAAGAGTCTTCATTATAGAGGGACAGATTTGGGCTCTGAAAAGGCGGAAGAGACATTCTGTTTCTTCTTGTTGGAATGCCTCTCTCCACCGCTATATCTAAGTTTGAATTAATTTTCAAGTCTCAGCTTATGTCCCTTATTCTAGGAAGCATCTCCTTACTTCCCTGATTGGGTTATGGCCCTCTAGGTACCCACAGCCCCTAGCATTTGCTATGCTGAATTTTGCAAGTGTTTTTGTCATGGTCTTAACCTTACCCACTAGACTGTGAACTCTTTGAGGGCAGGAAATGGTGTCTTTTCTTCCTTTATCTAACACGATGCCAGGTGTGTAAGCAACACTCAATAAATGTTGTTCCCCCCAAATAAATATTGACTGAATGGATTAATCCCATATTGAGGAAGGCAGGGAAGTCTTCCTAGAGGAGGTGGCATTTGAGTTGTGCCTTGAAGAATGAATAAAGTCATTGGGAATTCCAGTGCAAGATGGCACATTGAACACATGCATTTACCTATATTCCTTCCTGAAACTCTACTAAATAGCCAGTAAAAGGATTATTGTAAAAGCCATGAAACCATTATGACAACAAAAACAGGAAAGAAGATGATAGGAGCAAAGTTTTGGAAGTTGAAAAGCAACCCATTTTGCATTACTAACACATTCAAAGGTCTCAACAGTTAGATGCAGGAAGTATTTCTGGAGCTGGGGTGCAGCAGCTGAAAATAAAAGGGTTTTGGTGAGCATCTGTTTTATGAAGCTTACTCTAAGCTCCCTTCCCTAACTGGGCAACCAGGTACCAGTCACTCCTTTATCCTAGCAGAACACTGGAGATGTAAATTTTGGAAAGAATAAAACAGAAAGAAGGAAGAAAGGGGAAAGGAAGAAGGAAGGATGAAAGGAAGAAAGAAAAGGAGAAAAAGAGAGAGGGAAAGAGGAAGGGGAAACATAGCTGGGGAAGCATTTTTAACATGAGAAATTTTGTTTAATACATTTCGTTTGGTCATGGACTAGGACTGTTGGTTTCCCAGAGGGAATATATTTGTCCTCAGTATGAAATAATTGATGGTAATGTCTTATCATGTTATTAATAGTCTGTATGGTCTGTTATTTCAGTTATGTCCACATCTCCTTACTGAAATGGCAAGCTTTTGTTAAGCAAAGACAGTTTCTCTATTATCTTTCTTTTTAATAAAGACATTTAAAATATTTTATGTATTTATCTTTAGAGAGAGGGGAGAGGAGGGAGAAAACATCAATGTGTGAGACGAACATCATTTGGCTGCCTCTCACACATCCCCAACTGGGGACCTGGCCCACAACCCAGGCATGTGTACTGACTGGGAATTGAACCAGCAACCTTTCAGTCTGCAGACCAGTGCTCAATTCACTGAGCCACACTGAGCCACACCAGATAGGGCTCCATTATCTTTGTAATTACTAGAAAACCCAGGTACCCAATAATCATTTATTTAATTAAATTAAAGTTGTGATAGTCTTCCAAAAACACAAATCATTTCAAGTACAAAATTTGGTCTGTGCTATGACATAGTAAATAAGTTAACTATAGTAATATGTAAAGCCAAATAGTTATCATTCATTGATTAATGAATACTTAATAGGCAGTATGCTATACACTTAATGTTCCTTCCATTTCTTAAAATAAACCTTTAAATTTGATAGTATCCTAATTTTATAATGAAGAAATAAAGATTTGAAGGGGGGGGGAATCCACTTTTATATGGCTTCTTAATGGCAAAACTGGAATTTGAACCCAGGTATGTTTAATACCAGTGCCTATATTTTTCTCAGTGTATAAATATTTGGTCTTATTGTGGTTTATCATTGTGGATGTGAATAAAGAAATTATTCCCTGAATAATTTAATAAACATTTATCAAGTGACATACTTTTTAAATATTTTACTTATTTATATTTTTTTAGAGAAGGGAAGGGCGGGAGAAAGAGAGGGAGAGAAACATCAATATGTGGTTGCATCACCTGTGCCCCTCACTGGGGACCCAGCCTGCAACCCAGGCATGTGCCATATACTGGGAATTGAATCAGCGACTCTGTGGCTCGCAGGCAGGTGCTCAATCCACTGAGCCACACCAACCAGGGCACAAGCGCCCTGGTTTATATATTTTAAAAATAATAAAACTGGCCCTGACTGGTGTGGCTTTGTGGGTTGAGTATCATCCAACAAGCCAAAAAGTCACCAGTTTAATTCCTGGTTAGGGCACATGCCTGAGCAGTGGGCCAGGTTCCCTTTTGGGGGCATGTTTCTCTCACACATCAATGTTTCTCTCCCTCTCTTTATCCCTCCCTTCCCTTCTCTCTAAAAATAAATAAATGAAATCTATTGAAAAAAAAAAAAAAAGAATGGAAGGTCTCCAAATTGGGAAACACCAAGCAAAGTTGAAGACAAAAGGGGTTACATGAAAATGTACTAAATGTTATAAAATACTCCTCCCAGCTTTTTTCCCTACTTGGCTTCCAGAACATTGACAGCTTTGCTTACATTATACTCTCTAGATCGGTATCATACGGTGACTATGATGAACCCAAGAGAAAAAAATAAAAAGACAGAAAATACTGACTTCAGGCCTTACCCAATCATATAGCCCAGCCATATAATCATTAATGAGATTCAGAGTTGTCAAGCCTCACACATGCACTCAAAGTTTCCAATCAGCTTTTTAAAGAGCACTCTGAAGTGTGAACAGTAAGTAATCGTACTTTTAGATAATCGTAAGACCCTCTGATGAGACCCTCTAACCATGTAGACCTAAACAAAGAGAAAAACACAACTTGAATATAATGGAGATAATATAGGGAAATGAGAGCTTATAAAAATCATTAGTTATATCCTTAAAGAGATAAAAGATAATATTGTACCATGAACAAAAACAGAAAGGTGTAAGAAGGAAAACATTCAGAAAACTAGAAATAACACTGGGAAATAAAAACATGATAGCCAAAAAACAAAAACAAAACAAACAAAAACCCCAAAAAACTCAATAGAAATATTCAAAATAGTTCAGAAACTCGGACAAATATAGAGATGGAAGAAGAAAAAGAAAAAAAAATCAGCCCAGGTTGCCCTCTATTTAAATAATAGGATTTCCAGAAAGAACAGAAAGATATTGAAGGAGAAATAATTATTAAAGGCATAATAAAAGGAAATCTCCTACAAGTGAAGGACATGAGTTTCCAGATAAAAGTGCCCAACAAGTGGCCAATTTAATGGGTAAAAATATACCCATACCATGTCAAATTACTGCGATAATTTAGAACACTGGGAACAAAGAGAAGATCCTAACAACTTCCGTAAAGAGTGAGAAGATGGTCACATACAAAGGATCAGGAATAAGAGTAGCATCAGATTTTTTAAGTGTAACACTGAAAATTAGAGGAAAATGGAACAGTGCCTTAAATCTTGAGGAAAAATTATTTTCAACCTAGAATTCTATATGCAGCTAAGTTGTCAACAGTGTGAAGAGAGAATAACAGCATTTTAAAACATATAGGCTTCAATAAATGTGTGAATAAATGTGAATAAACTTCACATGAAGACATAAAGTTGTAAGAAATGAAAAGTAACTATAGTAAACCACATGGCTTAGCTGTGAATAGCATTTCTAAAGTCTAATAAGGTAAAAACTGAATAATTAATTTATTACATATATTGCATCTATTGCATATTGGAGAGATGGGAAGCATGCCTTTATGGCAGAGGAATGGGGAATAGGATGAAAGAGTTAAATCCTTAACCTTCTATAGTGTGGAAAGTCAATAGAAAACAGCTAAGTCTTAAAAATCACTAAGTAGCATGCTATTTGGAAATTAGAAGGTAAGGACCAAAATAGATAAAAATTAATAGTTGTCTCTGGGAGGGGGGATTTAGGACAACAACAGAGAACTATTATTTTTCATAATAAATCTTGCAGAACTGTTTGCTTCTTTAATCTACATCTGTTTATTCCTTTGATTATAAGTTACACTAAATAAGCCCTGGCTGGTGTGGCTCATTGGATTGAGTGCCAGCCTGCGAACTAAAAGGTTGCAAGTTTGATTCCCAGTCATGGCACATGCCTGGATTGCGGACAAGATCCCCAGTAGGGGGCACTCCAGAGGCAACCACACATTGATGTTTCTCTTCCTCTCTCCCCCTCTCTCTAAAAATAAATTAAAAAAATGTTTTTCAAAAATAAAAATGAAAAAAAAAAAGCACTACCTAAAAGGAAATTTAAATCAGGTATGGCAGGACCTGGGGTTCCCAGGGAGGTATGCTAGAGGTGCTAGAGAGCTGGAAAGACCCATATTATGACAGCCTTTGAATGCCAACAGATTTTATTTTCTAAGAGCAGGGCAAAGCCCATAAAGGCTCTTGAGCAGGGGAGAAACAGGTTCAGACCTGTGCTTGGGGAAGATAATTCAGTGCATCTGGGTTGGAAGGGACCTTAGAGATTACCCAGTAAGTCAGACTTAACTCCCAGTACACTAACAGGGAGACTGGTGTGTGGTGAAGGGAAGCCCTGAATCCCCAGTCAGGATTCTGACCCTACGAAGCCCTAGCCAACTCTTGCCTCCCTTAACAACTGCTACCAACACCCTGAAGGGACTGGGGGACCAGGTTGGCCCCCTTTTTATCCCCCAGCTTTTGCCTTCTTTTGGTCCAGACTACTTCCCGTGTAACACCTGGTCTCCTTATCAAACTATTCTTTGTTTCTAAGCCTTCCTGGTGAATCTGGACTGGTTCAATAGTTAATAGTAACATCCTATCTATGAAGTTCAGTGCTCAGTAGGATCAGATTTTAATATAGGGTCCAGCACAAATAATGCCCCCTATTTATTACAAAATCATAAGCACGTAATGCTGTAATATAACAATATCACACTCAAGCACACCATATGACACTTAAGTTAAAATGTTCAAATTAAAACTGTAAATTATTAGACCCATATTATTACTCTACCAACCACACTCAAGCAGGCGTTACTTCTGCTTGACCCTGAATTTAACATTTACTGAGAACCTACTGTATGCCAGGCACTGTGCTGAGTACATAATAGCATCTCAAAATTCTTTCAGCCATCCTGTGAGGTGAGTGAGTTAGCCCTATTTTACAAACAAGGAAACCAAGGCTCAAAAAAGCTAAGAAAGTTGGCCATAGTGATATAATAAGTGGCAGAGGTGAGATTTTAAAACAGTGATCTATCTGCTTCTAAAGCCCACACTCTAGACCCTTCTATTTCTGTGCTTTTTGAAAGTGAAATGGTTGGACTATAAGGTAGATGCCTCTGGAAACATTTGGGAAGTCCATGGCCCCAAACCTGGGACTGATTCCTTCTCCCATTCCCCCAGGCTTACCTGCGAGCCATTGACGTGAAGATTCTACAGCAGCTGGTGACTTTGAACGAGGGCATTGAGGCGGTGCGCTGGCTGTTGGAAGAGCGGGGGACGTTGACCAGCCACTGCAGCAGCCTCACCAGCAGCCAATATAGCCTGACAGGTGGGAGTCCAGGCCACTCAAGGCGAGGCAGCTGGGACAGCCTGCCAGACATCAGTTCCACTGACCGGCTGGACAGCGTCTCCATTGGCAGCTTCCTGGACACCGTGGCCCCCAGCGAGCTGGATGAACAGGGCTCCCTCAGTGCTCCCCGTCCTGAGATGGACTGGGCAAAGGTTATACCCGGTGGGGAGAGGACTAGGACTGAGGTGGACCTGACAGCCACCAAGCTAGGGAGCTTGAGGACTGTATGGAAGCACCCAGGGGAGGGGCTCCAGAGTGAACCTCCTGAGTCCCCAGAGGATGAGAGTGCCAAGCTGGGCTTTGAGGTCCACTGGTACTGGGGGCAGTGTCAGGATGATGTGACCTTCCTGTAACAACTTGTCCATTCTTGTGCTGCTGTGGCTCTTTCTTCACTAGGCCCTGGTCTCCCTTGAAATTTATTCTCCCTCAGTCTGGGACTAGAAAGAGGCTGCACTGAAATCAGTTATCATGGAAACCTGGCCTACCATCCCTCTGGTCTCTGGGGAAGCTATGCCTTTATCCCTCAATTATTGGGTCCACAGAGCTATTTCCACAGATAGACTGACTCCAGAGGCTTGACTTGTGGCTCCTGGTGTGATGTTCTGTCTTCCCCTTTGCCCTGTAACTAGGTAAGGATTTGAGGGATTTAGGACCCTTAGGAGATCACTGATGAAGAGATGGGGATATAATTACCTCATCCAATATCTAGGAGCCTTGGCCCCCCTCTTGGCCGAGATGGAGGATGGCTGAGGGACATGGACACTCAGGACCAACCCTCCGTGGATCGGCCTTCCCAGAAACCTCTGGTGTTGGTAGAACCACTGTTTCCTGTTTGGTGAGTGGTGTCATTTCCTGCCAGGATTAGTCTTTCCACTGTACCAGTCCTGTAGTTGTGATAGATCAACAAAGCAGTGTGTGAACTCCTGCTGCTAAGTGAGACCATGCCATTTATTCTCCATACCATTACTTCTTGTGAGGGGGAGCGTACCACCCCTCCTGGCAGGAAAGTTTTTCACCGTTAGATGTTTGCATTTCTTTTCGGAAAGGTTCATACTTTTTAAACAGGGTGTTCACCTTTTAACCCAGGGGACCTTGCTTCCCCTGTGACCACATCTCTGTCTGGTGCCAGCACTCCTGTATCTGTGCTTTTAGTGAGGGAAATTGGCAAGGCCTCCATCTGCTGCTCTCAGAAGTCTGTTTGGCCTGCCCTGTCACAGTCCCATTTTACCCTGTCCTTGGGTTGCCCCCATTCTTGTATTCTGGCCCCAAATCCTACTGCAAGGAGATTCAGCCTTTGTGTCTCCACACCTTCTCAGTTTCCATTTCCACCTCGGGCCTTTTATATGCAGATGAGTTCCCTCGCCTCTTCTCCCCTTTGAGGATGGGAGCCAGAGGGAGGACAAGCCTGAGGTCTCAGAGCTCTGGAGGTGTACCAAAATCTCCAAAGTGAGGATGTGTCTGTCTTCTCTAATCCTGTGATTTTTTTTCCCCTCCCCCATCCTGCCCCAGACTTTCCACCATTTGGTCACAAGGACCTGCCCAGAGACTGGGACACAAGGAATCCCCTTGTTTCAGTTACAATGGAGGCGGGTGTGGCAGGGAAAGACAGAGGCTCTTTAGTCCTAGGGCCCACATCCTGGGAGGAGAGAGAGATCCAGGGAAAGGCCACTTTCCTTCCTTTCTTAGAGCAAGCCCTAGACTCCTAGACCTGAGGAGGGTGCAGAGAAATGGCTCTGGGCCTAGGTCCCAGGGTCCTAATGAATCACACCAAAGAAGGAATTCAGGAAAGCTGCCAGCCTGAGGCTCAGGGGAAGGACAAGGAGATAGGGTTGTGGTTGATGTCAAAATATGAATTCTTGGAGGTTAACCCTTTGAACCTCAGGTAACTGCCTACATGTTGGTCCTTATCTTTCCTGGGTCCTGAAACTAGATTTTTGGAAGGCAAAAAGGATATCAGGTGATCTTTGTCTATTTGCTGTGCCCTCCTGAGTTGTAGGAGTGGATCCGTAATCCTAGAATAACTGCTGCAGTTTCTCTACTTTCATTCTATGCTGGGGAAGGGAAGGAAGCCAAGTGGATCATCTCCACATCCCCTAAACTCCTCAAGTCTTGTTCTGCACCCCCCGACCTCAGTCATTTGGGCACAATACATTCAGTCCATGGCTGTCCCCTAAAGATCCTCTCTCCCATCCCCTTAATGTGATTGAAATCACTAAAATATATTCTTGCCTCTCCTCTGCTGCCCAACAGCCCTCTCCTTACCTCCCCTCCTGGTTTTGGGCCTCCTGACCGTCCCTCTCCCCACCAAGTCCCCAGGCTGGAAATTCAAATACCCTTTTTAAATTCCTACTCTGTTGCCATTTTGTAGCATGCTCTTGGTTAGTTCCCTGGAAGCTTATGTGTTTGTTTAGTCAACAAACATCTGAGCTGAAGAAGTTGCCTGCCCTCTTGTGGCCATTATGCATCATTGCCATGGGTAGCTGGGTGGAACTTCCAAATTCAAATGCAGCATTACAGAAAACCAGCCTCTCATTGCACAGGCAAGCTGGAGAGACAGGCCTAGAGAGGTCAGAGATTTGCTCAGTGTCATCCATGTTAAATCCATGGCCCAGGTTAGAGAACCCAGATCTGCCTGCCTGCCTGCCCACAGTTCCATCACTTGGCCAGATTGTTCCCCCACCTCGCTCAGTCAATACTATCCAAACTCAAAGGGACTGAAAGAAATTTTCCTCTGTTTTAATATTTAGGTTCTTACCCTACTGTAAAAAGGTAGTTCAATGTTTAGAGAGGAGTTATAGGCTCTGAGGAGAGAGAAACTTGGACCTGGATTGGATACTAATCTGGACTGCAGATACAAGGAAAATCAATCTTGGACCATTTTTCTGGGTAGGGAGGGTGAGTCAGCCTAGAGGTCATGGGGGCAGAACTCAGCATTTCAAATCTGGAGATTAGAAGTGAGGGCTTCGGGAGAGAGGTTTGAGATTAGGAAATCCAGGTGGATCCTGAGGAGTTGGGGAGCTCCGCAGCTCAGGGGATTATAGCTCAATTGGATAGGCATCTGAGGGTTGAGGAGCAGGAGAGATGGGTGGGGGGTGCCTGTGCACTCCAGGTAGGTCATCCTGCTTAATACCTGAGACCCTATTTCACTGTCAGAGTAGTTTAGGAACCCAGTAAACACACGTCCTTGGTTCTTCCTACCTGCTTCTGGACTGGCTGCTTGAGGTTTAACTCTTCTGTTAATTTAGGCCTTCCTAGGCTACAAGGAGGACCTGTTTGGTTGCTCATAGAAAGAGAAGGGAGGAAAAGGGGGAGAGGTACAGAGAGATAAAAGAGAAGAAGAAAACAGTGTTGAAAGTATGATCAGATGGAGCATACTGTCCTCCAGGCGGGCTTAGGGCTTTAGTCAGTCAGTGCTCAGGGTAAAGGCAGAGATGAGACTGCTCTTGGCAGCTGCAGAAACAGCACCTGATAGGATAAGGAGTGTTGCTGGCTGGGATGGGTACATCAGGGAGACATTAAACCATGTGACTGGGCAAGTGTAAGGGCGTGCACTTAGGATGGGGTCAATGAGGTTTAGCATTGGCAGCATAGGTGAGAAATGCTTGAGGTTTATAGTGGACACACGCTCACTGTGTGCTTGGTGCAAGACCCATACTGGGTGTTCAGTGACACCTGTTACTGGAGGGATGAATGTGTAAACCCACAAGGAGATGTAACTTATTTTTTTTAAGTAGGTAATTAGGTAATAGTAGGTAATTTAAAAACATTATTTGATTCTTAGCAACCCTATAAACAATGCCTTATTAACAATGTATCGTTGTTTAGACATTTGATAAGGGCCAGATAGGTAATAAATGAATGGTAATATGAACCTAGTTCAGTCTGACTGCAGGGACTTCCAGGAAGTCTTGTCTGATTCTCCACTTCTCACTCTCACAGACCTTACTTTCCTAGAAGAACAGATTAGTGCTGCCTAGCAGCAAGGCCAACATACTAGTTTTCTATTGTTGCTGTAATGACTCACCATAAACTTAATTGCTTAAAACAACACAAATGTATTTTATTACAGTTCTGGAGGTCACAGGTATGAAATCTGTTTCATTGGGCTAAAGTCAAGGTGTTGACAAGCTTGCATTCCTTCTGGAGCCTGTAGAGGACAATCCATTTCTTTACCTTTCCGAGGTTCTAGAGGCTGCTTGCATTCCTTGGTTCACAGCCCCTGCCTCCATCATCATACCAGCAGCATCTTCCCTCCTCTGAACTTTGCTTCCATTCTTACATCTTCTTTCTCTAATTCTCCTGTTGCCTCTTATGAGGATTACATTGTGATTACATATCCTTGTAATTACATTAGCTCCACTGAGATAATCCAGGATCATCTTCCCATCTCAAGATCCTTAATTTAACCATATCTTCAAAGTCGCTTTTACTGTATAAGATAAGATAGGAATTAGGGCATGAGCATCTTTGGAGGAGAGGCCATAATCCAACCACAGGCAGAGATGGAGGGTGGGCAGGAAGATGCACCCAGGCCCAGAATGAGCATCTCTGCTTTGTGCAGCCTCCCTCAGCTTGGTGCTAAGGAGGAGGTGGCCAGGTCCAAGCCCCATGTCTGGGAAATGGCAAGTGCCTCCTGCGTTATCACTACCAGGAAGAGGAAAGAATGAAGGTCAGACTTGAGAGAAATTCTTGATTTAGGGAACTTTTCAGGCTTGAGACTCTCCTAGTGGACATGATTGCCTCCTCTCCAGAACCATTATGTACTCCTCAAGGTAGGAGAAAATTACCAGCAAACTAGCCTGTGCTCTCTCTGGAAAGGGTAGATTTTCTCCTTTTTTAAAATTATTATTTATTGGTCTTAGAGGCAGGAAGGGAGACAACAATTTGTTGTTCTACTTATGTATGCAATCATTGGTTAACTTTTTAAACTTCTATTTAGTGATTTTTAGAGAGAGAGAAACACTAATTTGTTGTTCCACTTAATTATGCATTCATTGGGTGATTCTTGTATGTGCTCTAACTGGGGATCAAACCCGCAACTTAGTGTATCAGGACAATGCTCTAACCAAATGAACTATCTGGCCAGGACAATTTTCTCTGTTAAATTAGTGTTTATTCCTTAATAGTTAAACTCTCATCATCAGTTGATACTAAGTCTCTTTCTTGTTTTGTTTGCTTGTCATCCCTGATCCTCATTCCACTTCCTGACCTAGGCATACACTCTAATGTGTTCAGTATGTCTTTGTACATCTATGTATCTTTAAATATATATATATAATTATGTGTTTATGTGTTTTAATATATATAAATGGTATACTTTTATAATAAGCTAACTTCTGTCATGAACTGCCCCATATTTCAGTGATTTAACACAATAAAGATTTATTTCTTACTTACACAGGAGCACAGGTGTTGTGGTTGGACAGCTCTTTTCCACTGTGCATTTCAGGTCCCAGGCTCCTCCCATTTTCAGATAGTGAGAGCCTGATCCTGCATCATAAGTTTCCTTGTCAACTTTTCACCAAATTGTTTTACCATCCATTAATGACCATTTTATGAATTGGTTATTTCATCAGGGATTACAAAATAATGATTTTCTAATGCTATTATTTTTTTCTTCTGTACAGAAAAATTTTTTCATATCCTTTAGGACTATTTGGTTACTCTGAAATAAAGTTCATACCAGAATGTCAAGACAAATGCTTAAATCCGTTTCCTTATTTATCTCTTTCAAAGTAACAGGTTTGTGTCCTAGCAACTTGGTGTTGCTTTTATTTTGTTTTGCTTTCTCTTTAAGTTATTGTTGTGAACTTGTAGTTTTTATATATAGGGTCCGGCACAAATAACACCCCTTTTTTATTACAAAATCATAAGCATATAATTCTGTAACATAACAATATCATATTCAAATACACCATATTACATTGTAGGTGAAATGTTCAAATTAAAACTATAAATTATTACACCCATATTATTATCCTACCAACCACACTCATGCAGGTGTTACTTCTGCCAGCCCCTGTTTTTAATGACTTAATCATTTGCAGTTATTTTTGTTTTATATTTTACGAAATTTCAAGCATATATAAAAATAGACTATAATGGAATTTCCATGTCCCCATCACTCAGCTTTAATAATTATCAACTCATGGCCTATCTTGTGTTATTTATTCCCTCAACTACTCTACCCTTAACTGAGGTTATTTTGAAGCAAAACTAGATAGGATTCCAGTTCACCTAAAAATGTTTTAGTATGCATCTCTAAAAGATAAGGAATTTTATTGCCATTATTGCATCTAAAATTAATAATTTCTCAATATACCTCACTGTTGTGGCTCAGTGGATTGAGTGCTGGCCTGTGAACCAAAAGGTTGCCAGTTCGATTCCCAGTCAGGGCACATGCCTGGGTTGTGGACCAAGTCCCCAATAGGGGGTGCATGAGAGGCAACCACACTTTGATGTTTCTTTCCCTCTTTCCCTCCCTCCCCTCTCTCTAAAAATAAATACATAGTAAAATAATTTATCAATACAATAAAATACAGTTTGTGTTCAATTTTCCAAATTTTCTGATAAACTTTTAACAAGTTTTAGTATCAGGGTGATGCTGGCCTCTTAAAAAGAGTTAGGAAGTGTTACCTCCTCCCCTGTTTTCTAAAAGCATTTGTGTAATATTGGCAGTATTATTCAGTATTTGATAGAATTTATCAGTGAAATAATCAGGCCTGGAGTTTTCTTTATGGCAAGCTTTTTTAATAACGAATTCAATTTCTTTGATACATATAAAGCTATTCAGACTTTTAATTTCATTTTGAATTCATTCTGGTAAGTTGTGTTTCTCAAGAAATTTGTCTATTTCATCTAAGTTATTGACTCTATTAACATAAAGATGTTCATAACACTATTCTTTTAAAAATGACGTAAAATAAAGAACAAATGTAGAAAACACACAAAACAAATATAAGCCTTAATGAACGATTCTGAGGCAAACATTCTCGTTACCACTGCCATGTCAAGGACGAGAACTGGCCCTGGCTGGTGTGCTCAGTGCGTTGAATGCTGGCCTGCAAACCAAGGGGACATTGATTTGATTCCCAGTCGAGGCACATGCCTGGGTTGCAGGCCAGGTCCCTGGTTGGGGGCAGGAGAGGGGCAACAGATTGATCTATCAATGTATCTGGCACACCCATGTTTCTCTCCCTCCCTTCCTCTCTCTCTCTCTAAAAATAAATAAAATCTTTTTAAAAAATAAATAAAAACAATTGATACGTCTTTAAGTTTCTTATTTTCTAAAGTCTTCCTCTCATCCCTTTCTTAATTCTTTATAATTTACTTGCGGATGAACCTTGGCTGTTTGGCTGGCAGAGTTTACTACAGTCTGGATTTTGCTGATTACATGCCATGATGCAGTTTTAAATGGTCTTCTGTCCTCAGTATTTCCTGCAAATTGGTGGCTGGATTCAAAGACTGGATCAGACTCAGATTGAATCACTTTGGCAAGACTATAAGTGTCATATAAATCTAGTAGTCAGTTATGCTTGTGATTTTTTTTTTCAGGTGCTGATGCTTATTGCCTGTATGCATTAATCCACTGAGGGCTGCAAAATGGCACTGTGAATTCTATAGTTTCCTTTATTTCTTAGTTGAAATGATTTTATAAAGAGAAACATCCTCTTATCTACTGTTCGGTTTCTAAGTGGATAGTTCCCATAGGAAAAGCACAATAAATGCTTGAGTCTTTCTTTTTCCACCAGTTTTCAAGATACTGAATTGGAATCCTTTTATCCTCAAAAGGCGACTATTTAAAAAAATATCATCATAGACTTAAGGATTTATATATATTTGATGGGTTTCCATTAACTGGAATTATTGACACTATTGAATGTCAAGTGCCCTTACTTTGGCCAGAGGAGTCTCATCAAGTTGTCTCCTGAGTCCTTTTGATATCACTAGTATTTTTCGTTTTTATTTGGTAGAAGAAAATTTTCCTGGTTCATCATATACATTTCTTGTCCCAGACTGGAATCAACCATTCTCTAAGAAGCTGTTGAGTTTTTTTGTTTGTTTGTTTGTTTAAGATTTTATTTATTTATTTTTACAGGGGAGGGGAAGGAGAAGGAGAGGGAGAGAAAGGTCAATGTGTGAGAGAAACATCAGTTGCCTCTCACATGCCCCCAAGCATGTGCCCTGACCAGGAATCGAACCAGCAACCTTTTGGATTACAGCCCAGCACAGCACTCAGTCCACTGAGCCACACCAGCCAGGTTAAGTGAGAAATTATATTTCAAGACTGCAGCTAGGCCTTATCAATGGACAGAGCTAGAAGAGTACACACACACAGACACACACACACACACACACTGTATATATGTGTGAATGTATGTACAGGCATACACACTATATATAAAATATATGTGTGTATATATACACATATACATACATATGATAAAATAGGAGTACATATTGAGACTTTCAATTCAAATTCAGGATTAAAGAGCTTTTAGTTAATCTCTAGCTCCTTTCTTCCATGCCAAGAATCCTGGTTTTCAAGGACACAGGAGATGATAAAATTAGAATATGCCATAATTGCCCTGACAGGTGTGGCTCGGTATGTTGGGCGTCATCCTGCAAACTGAAAGGTTGTCATTTCAATTCCTGGTCAGGGCACATGCCTGGGTCACTGGCCAGGTCTCTGGTAGGGGGCAACTGATCAGTGTTTCTCTCACACATTGATGTTTCTCTCCCTTTCTTTCTCCCTCTTTCTCCTCTCTTTAAAAATAAATAGCCCTGGCGGGTGTTGCTCAGTGGGTTTAGCACCAGCCTGCAAATCTAAAGGTTGTCAGTTCAATTTCTGGTCGGGGCACATGCATGGGTTGCAGACCAGGTCCCTGATTGGGGGCATGCAAAAGGCAGCCAATCAATGTTTTGCTCCTTTTCTCTCTCCCTTCTACTCTCTCTAAAAATAAATAAATAAAATATTTGAAAATAAAAATAAATCTCTTTAAAAAACAGCATGCCATAACTACTCATTCTTTAAAATCTTATACATGAAGACAGCAACATAGGTATACACGGCTTTCCTTCTCGCATCAAAACTATAGCTGAAATATAGAACGACCGTCATCCAGAACCATCAGAAATTGAGTTGAATGGAAGTCTGACAACTATGAAATTAAAAAAAAAAACACATTCAAACTGGTAGGAGGGATGGAGACACAGAACAGGCTGATCCCACAACCACGTGTGCTGGATAAACATTTGGGAGGGATACCTTGGGAGTGAAGAGTCCCAGCCCCACATCAGGGACCCCTGCCCTGGGGTTCCAGTGCCAGGAAGATAAGTCTCCATAACTTCTGGCTACAAAAACCAGCAGAGATGGAGTCAGTGGAAGAAACCTATGGAGCTCTAAGCAGTTCCTCTTAGAGAGCCCACACACAGACTTACTCAAACTTATTTCCTCTGAGCTCCAGCCCTGGGGTAGTAGCTTGAAAGGCAACAGTGGCATACAGGGAGGAACTGAAGTGTCGGGCATCAAGGTGAGAGCTGGGGGACAGCTTTCTCCCAGACAGAAAGGTTGGCAGAGACCATTGTCCCTTCTCTTAATCTTCCCCTCACCAGAGCCACAGAGCTGGCAAGCAAGTGCCATATCTGAGACTCCATCAACCTGGCTAACACTGTTTTCCCCTCCCTGGACATCCCTTGAGTCTCCATCCCACTCAACTTACCAGCGCACCGAAACAGTTAAAGCGACTTTTCCATATGAATGGATAATCTTGGCTCATTCTTCACAACTCCCTAAATCCTCTCAAACAAGCAACAGCCAGCCTCAGTGAGCCCCCAGTCCCTCATACCTAATGCCAGGCACAAGAAGCAGCCAAGCTAGATTCACAGCTTAGTCTCTCCTAGGAATCTCTAAGCCCAGCACAAGGATCAGCCACCTCAGAGTGCTTTATAGCTAATGCAGGGTGGCCCCTGGCAGAACGCAGGTGGGGGATGACCTTGGCCTGCACCACTTGAGAAACCCCAGAGCCTGTGAGCCCAGTGAACAGCTACAGACCATATTGGAGCATCCCCACCCTGCCTCTGCACAGCTGATCCTCCACAGAGCGTGGTTGTTCGTGGTCAGTGGTTACAGTCAGTCCTTGGAGCTGACTGACCTGAGTAAATCCCTTCCTCTGACCTGCCAACAGAAATCAAGGCTCAACTACAAGAGGAGGGTGTACTCAGCCCACATGGAGGGTGCTACTTGAGTACCCAGCTTGGGTGATAGGGGAGGCTGTGCCACTGGACCCTACAGGACACCTACTACATTAGGCAACACTACCTAGACAGGGAGCGACAGCAGCTTGACCTAATACATAGAAACAAACACAGGGAGGCTGCAAAAATGAGAAGACAAAAACAAAACAAAACAAAACATGGCCCAAATGAAAGAACAGATCAAAACTCCAGAAAAAGAACTAAACAAAATGGAGGTAAGAAATCTACCAGATGCAGAGTTCAAAACACTAGTTATAAGGATATTCAAGTAACTTAGTGAAAACTGGAGGGTGTTGCTCAGTGGGGTTCATCTCAACAGCATAAAAAAGATCCAAACAATTTACAGGGAAACAACAGTAGAGTGGATGAAGCCAAGAATCAAATCAATGATTTGGAACATAAGGAAGAAAGAAACAACCAATCAGAACAACAAGAAAAAAAAG